CAATTTTCTTCTCTTGATCTTTTTGTCAATAAGTGTCGCCGTGATATTTCTAATCTCAATCTTAACCGTAAACTTAATTACGCTAATCTTTCTAAGGACGAGTGCTTGGCTTTACGTTAATTACGCAATCGTTCTGACATTGTTATCAAGCCCGCTGACAAAGGCAGTGGAGTTGKTGTTTGGCGTTCCGACTTGTACGAACAGGAGGCTTTACGTCAACTCTCTGACACTAATTTTTATTGTGAAGTAGATAAGGATCTTACCCCTGACAATCAAAAATTAGTTAAAGACACAGTTAACTCTTTCATTTCTGACGGCTCTTTACCTTCCACTGCTAAAAACCTCTTTGTCGTTACTCCTCGTACTTCTCACGTCTATTTTCTTCCTAAGATTCACAAAGCTAACAATCCTGGTCGTCCTATTGTTTCTGCTTGTAGTTGTCCTACCGAACTCATCCCTAGCTATCTAGATTCTCTCATGCTGCCTATTGTTCAGTCTTTACCTACTTATATTAAGGATACTAATCACGCTCTTAGTATTTTTAATGATTTTCGCTTTCCTGATAACTCTTCTAAGCTATTGTTTGCTATGGATGTTAAATCTTTGTATACTGTCATTCCTAATGATATGGGTCTTCGTGCCCTTCAGCATTTTTTCGATCTTCGTCCTGTCCTCGAGCCTAGCACTCCCACTTTGTTGCGCTTAGCTGAACTTGTTCTTACTCTTAATTGTTTTTCTTTCGGTGATCGGTATTATCGCCAGGTAAACTGTGTTGCTATGGGTACTAAGATGGGCCCTAGTTACGCCAATTTGTTTGTTGGTTATATCGAAAACCTTGTTTTACAACAATATACTGGACCTAAACCTGATTTTTTGGACGGTATATTGATGATTGTATTGGTGCTACTTCTTGTTCTCGTAATGACTTAGATTCTTTCATCTCTTTTGTTAACTCTTTTCACCCTGCCTTAGACTTTACGTGGGAGGTTAGTGAAACATCAGTCACTTTCCTTGACATCTTGCTCAGTGTTAATGACCGTCTTAGCACTAGYGTCCATTACAAACCTACTGGCTCTCATTCTTATTTACTCTACTCGTCCTCTCATCCTAAGCACACTCTTAACGCTATTCCGTTCTCGCAATTTCTTCGTCTTCGTCGTTTGTGTAGTGATGATCTTGATTTTTCTGTTAAATGTTCCGAGATGCGTTCCTTCTTCCTTAAGCGTAATTATCCTGCTCATGTTATTGATCACGCCATTCGCAAAGTTTCCACTATTGATCGTACCACCGCTCTCACTCCTCACACTCGTCCCTCTAATGATCGCATTCCTTTCACCCTTACGTATCATCCTATTAATAACTCCATTAAACCCCTTGTTAACCGCAACTTTTCTCTGCTTGACTCTGATACTCGCACTTCTGCTATTTTCAACAACCGCCCTCTTTTTCTTTTAAACGTGATCGTAAATCTTCGTTCTTTCTTGGTCAAAGGAGTTCTTCCCTCTGACAAAGAACCTTTTCGTACTTTACGAAGGTACTTTTCGCTGCTCTCGCAAACGTTGTCAGTACTTGTCCTCATATAGCCTCTCACACTTCTGTTGTCGGTCCTAAATCCACTGTTAAAATCACTGAACATTTTGTTTGCACCACTTCTAATGTTGTATATTGTATCAAATGTACCCGCCGTCTTGGTGATCGCATTTGCCATGATCTTTATGTTATTCGCAATAACGATCCCACCAAACCAGTTTCTCGCCATTTCAATCTAGCTAACCATTCTCTTTCTGACTTCATTGTTTTCGGTCTTTCTTTGATAATTTATTTTTGTTTCTTTTTTGTTTTGCTTGCTTTGCTCATAAAATAATACTAGCTGTCGGAGTAGCAATATTCAATACTTTTTGATCCGTTTTTTTTAACTTCCTTAACGGTTGATTACCTTAGTATCAGATTGAAAAAATAAATACCCTAAACTGTACTGAGTCAATATTGAATAGCTAAGACTCAGAAATACAGAAGAAAACATTCTTGTTAATGACATCCCTTGTGCTTGAACAAGTAACAATGATACAAGCTAGGTATAATGAAATGGGACCACACTGAGTCAAGATCAATGGATTTCTGAAGGTAATCAAATGATGCCCACGCGCATCACACTGTTAAGACATAAATATATAATACATAAAATTTACATTGAAGAGCACATATTTCTGTAACTGGCCCTGAACACATCTCATAATGAATCTACTCCACAAAACGTTAAAAAGTGTATTGACWATCCTATTTACAATTGTTTCTGTAAAGGGTAAGTATGATACAAGACATGTTAGTCTCTACTTTGGAACTTTACCTCAGGTTTACGTACTCTAATTACTTCTTATCGACCACTTTCCTATAAGTGCATTTAGTGTTTACATTTCAATTCATGTTTCCCTAATTCTTCAACAACATTCGTGGGTATTTATTTCTCACTGGAGTTAAATACTTCGACATGTACACGAAAGTTTGTCCTCATTATTGAGGAGCAAAAAGAAAGAAATATACATACATAGTGTACATTTCTCAGGTAAGTTTTTTTTTTTCAATATTTGAAACTGATGAAGAAGGCATTTCTTATATTTCTCAATGGTTTTTAGTCGAATATAGGAAACCGAGAACTGAAAAAATCCATGTTAAAGTTGAAAGAAAATAAGAACGATCGTTTTATCAGTTTAAAGAATTCTCCTGAGGTGACTTCTATTGTTGTTGAGCTTTTTTATTTTTTTATTAAATTAATTTTTGTTTCTTTTTTGTTTTGCTTGCTGCATCCATTGCATGCAAATTCCTACATGCCATAGCTTGCTGCATCCATCCGATCTTCATACCTTAAGTTGCATGAACTTCGATACAAATCTTGCAATGATGTACGTTTCACCTGTATAGCATTACACTGATTAAGAACATTATTTATGAGAGAAAATTAACAGTGAAGAGCACAACCTTCTGCACTAAGTACAAGTAGCCCTGAAAGTATCGCATAATGAATCTACTCCACAAAACGTTGAAAAGTGTCTTGACAATCCTATTGACAGTTGTTTCTGTAAAGGGTAATTAAAATGCAAGATATGTTACATACATACATACATACATACAAAGTTTAACACGGTAAAATCATCAGTACAAATATGCATAATAATGAATAAAAAACTGTTTTCCATGATTGCCGTGTGAGCCTGCATAATTAGAAATATTCATTAAGTTTACGCCTAAACAAAGGAAGGGAATCAGCACTTCTTACAACAGGCTAAAGACTGTTCCATAAAGCTGCTCCACAGTAACTGAAATGTTGGTCTCCACGTGCACTTTAGAATTTTAACCACAATTTTTCAATTTTTTTCGATTCCGTATGAAGTTTTTCAACTTTCTTTTTCTTCTCTTCCATACTCTGTTTTTTTCCTAATATTTTTATTCAGAGAATGTATTTTTTACGATTTACAAGTAACAAGTTACGATTCGGAAAAAAAAGGAAAGAAAAACTGAAAATGAACGAGTAAGTCAGGAAGGAAAGAAAGGAAAATTCCAAGATACTACTAATCCTGCATCATTTCTTTCTTTCTATACAAAAAGAAATAAATAAACATACATAGCGTACATTTCTCAGATTTATTCCATTTTTTTTTTTTCTTCCTTCAACATTTGAAACTGAAGAAGAAGGCATTTTTTATCTTTCTTAATGGTTTTTAGTCGAATGTAGAACTTATTCACTCAGAGAAACCGAGAACTGAAAAAATCCATGTTAAAGTTGAAGGAAAATAAGAACGATTGTTTTATCAATTTAAAGAATTCTCCTGGGGTGACTTCTATTGTTGTTCAGGTTGGTTTTTTTTTTTTTTTTTTCATGCTTTGCTAATAAGATAATTCTAGCTCACAAAGTATCAATATTCAATCAGTCCTTTTAGATCCAGGTTTTTTTAACTTCCTTTTTCTTTTGGCTTTTGCCTCATTTCATCGATATCCAATATATTTTGACCATTCGATAAGCTTGTTTCTGTTCAACTCAGGCTTCCCATAATGGTTGATTACCTTAGTATCAGCAGCAAGAGTGATAATTGAAAAGGTTTCAATTAACGAGACTCCTAGTGTGTTTCCTTCCTCTTCAGCAAATTCATAAATGCCATAGCTCCCTGCATCCATCCGATCTTCATATCTTATGTTGCATGGACTTCGATACAAAGCTTGCAATGATGTACATTTCGATGCGTCTGAATTGGCTTAATTACCATAGTAACGAAAAACAAATACGTTGCCCCTTGTCAGTCGAGATTCTTGACCTTTAATTTTAACTCATATCTAAGAGTTCATCAGATGATGTTTTCAAGAAGATAATTTCTTATAACAGTAAAGACACAAAATTGAACGTCAAAATTGAAATGCTAAGACTCAGAAACACAAGAGTACATTCCTGTTGATGACATCTCTTGTACTTGAAAAAATGTATATAAATCCTTAATTTATTTCAATTCTATGAAGCCCAAAGGGTGGCTAATGTGCTTATTTCACATTACTTGTSACTATAATTTATATTTTGGGGTGTTTGGGTATTTCTTTCTCCCTTTACTACTGATATTTTGATCATAAACTACAAAGAAATGTATGGAGCGATGTTCGATGTTGAGTGTATGACGTCACAGACTCCAAAAAATAATCGTAAAAATATCATACTTTCGTCCTGAATATCGAGAAAACACTTCATACAGTGATTATTGGACCTTTAAAGAGTATTCTTAGGAAGTTTCAGCTGAATCCAAGTTTGAGCGATTTTCGTCGTAGTAGCACTTTAAGCTTTCGATACCGAGATAAAAATAATCAAATATGCTCATTTTTTAGTGTGTTAACTGTATAGGTCCGCCATCTCGGTCCACCAAGATGGCGGCCAAATTAACAATAGGATGAAAATCACGTTCAATATCGTAACTTATTTTCTCAATAGAAATATTTATCAACTCAAAATTATTCATTATTTATGGAGACAAAAACATACCATCTAAAAATGCGTGACAATAATTGACTTACGGTATTAATTATAATTCATTTTTTAAATCTAAGAATTGGATACACAACAAAGTGTTTTGGTGAAGACTTTTCTAGATGATACAAACCAAATATCACGGTTTCGTATGACGAATACAGTCAACTCTTGTTACAGCGGCCGCTCTCGGGACCGTCCCTTGGTGTCCCGTTAATAGCGAGCGTCCGCAATAGCCGGGAATTATAGCCGCTGTAATGCCAACTCTCCTCAGTTTTTTCCTTAACCTCGGAACGGCTAATAAAGATTGTGAGCTCAAGAGGTTTTTAGTTTGATTTCATAAGGACTTTTTATAAACTAAATTTTCTTTGACACTTCTCCCTACACAGGTGAAGATGGCTGTAAGGTACTAGACTTTCTTGACTGTCAGAAAAACAAAACCCTCACTGGTCACGTGATCAAGTCCTTCAGAATCTTAGCACCCGGATTAGAGGATTGTCAGCACAAATGTTATATAGAAGACAACTGTGTGTCGTACAACTTGGGTCCAGTGAAAGGGGTGGTAAGATCATGTGACCTGAATGACGCTGATCATTGGATGTGTCCGCATCACGTGGTACAAAAAGAGGGTTTTGAGTACTGTCCTATCAAGGTGAGTAAAATCAATCATAGTTAAAAGTCTGTTACACGTAACTGGAACACCTACTAAAGAAGACAAGAGTTTAAACGCACAAAGAAATAGTAGGTTTTTGAATCTTAGGCAAACAGTGAATCCTATGCACTTCTTGTGTTGTGGTCTCTACTGGTTGTAGGTCGTCTCATCGAGGCTGTCGCTGCGTTTTAGAGCTAGYGATTTTTCGGACAGCTTACGGCAATGACGGGTCAGTTGGATCTGTTTTGATTGTCTTATAAGGCAAAACAAAAACCTTTGACCTTTGGAGTTAAACAACAATTTCACAGTAAAGAAAAACGAAGGCAGTCAAAATAAGATAATATAAGTAAACGTACACAAGTATAACGATTATGTTTTGATTCAATCAATTGAAGAAGAAAAAAACTATAAAAATCCAACCACTCTAGGTGTCGTAGTCCCCTTGCGCAAACTTATCCTGACTATAAATTGCGAGAACAATTTTATCAGTTGTTAATATTACTTAACATTTTAGTATTTTTTCTCCGTAGAACCGTTGCTCGTCCAGTCCTTGTCCCTCCAACAAGTTATGTCTGCCTGACTTTTCATGGGACACCTTTAGCTGTGTTGGTGAGTTTTGTCTGTAAAACAAGTCCCAAAGACATGTTTCAAAATCACTTATATGTGAATAGTGTAGTAGTATGGTTGCAGTATTTTTGTATGTCAAATTTTCTTTTAGGAGATATAAACATCTGAAATATCAATATGCAAATGAGATGATGTAAGTTCAAGACTAAGGTACATACAAAAATGCTGTTGTGGAAAGTACTACTGTTTTTCCATATGCAAATCATCCTTATGACTGAAATATATGGCTTTGTACGCTTTAAGGTTATTTCACTTAAGAACACTTGTCTCGAATTAGGCTTCAAAATTTAACCCTTTCTAGAATTTACGTCATCTCATTTGCATATTGATATTTCAAATGTTTATATCTCTGGAAATAGAAGTCCACATACAAAAATATTGCAACCATGCTACTACACTGTTCAAATATAAGTGATTTTCAAAATATTTTWWAAAAATTTTCCGGTYCGGTATCCTAAAACATTGTGCGTTCTGATTGGCTGTTTGAGCGGGCGGTATTCTGTCAGTATCTGCCCGCGCTCACGGTCCGGTATCCTTTTTTGCCGCTAAACAACAAAACAAAACGATTACATAAACAAGTAAAAAAAACTAAGGGGRAAAAAAAATTATTTACCGTCCTATAGTCGGTCCGGATATGGAAAAACTGTGCCCTCGATATTCAAGACCTCGGGCACAGTTTTTCCCTATCCGGACTGACTATAGGACGGTAAATAACATATATTTCCTTGATATACACTTTAAGCTATTGATCTAAAGTCTAAAATCTAAAATCTTTCAATTGTTATTATCTTGCAATTCTAGATGGTGTTTGGACACAGTGGACGTCATGGACAGCATGTCATGATCTCCCAGATTGTCCCAGGATACGTACACGAAACTGTACCAACCCTGCAGCACCTCAGAATATCGGTACCAACTGCACTGGGAATGATATGGAGACCAAAGAATGTCAAATACCAGTAGTTAATACAACGGGTAAGAAACTCGTTTTAGATTATTTTAACCAATGAGGCGAAACTCTTTAAAATATCGAAATGTTTTGAACGTTATGGAAATTTTATTATTTCATGTTTAATCTTGTGAATAGGATGTGAAAACCCGCTTGGTATGGAAGATCGAACCATCCTTGACTCCCAGATCACTGCCTCTTCAACGTACTATAATAATCATCCGTTTTTTGCACCATCGGCAGCCCGACTGAATAATCAGCATGTTGATAGCGTTACCATTGGTGCATGGACTGCAGGTGGGTCTCAAAGGGGCGAGTACATACAGGTTGACCTTGGTAGAGTCAAGATGGTTACTAAGATTGCCACACAAGGAAGACCCAGACATTCCCATGAATGGGTGACCGAGTACAGTGTGTCTTACAGCAACAACACAATGGACTGGAAAAACTACTATGGAGACTGTGTTAAGGTTAGAAACGCTTTTACAGTCAAACAAGCTCAAGCGTTGACCCCTAGATTTGATTAATGAAATCATTAGTTAATTATTCCTTTTATATGTACGAACCGGAATAATGCAATATTGCAAATATTCAAATGAAAATTCAGTTCATTATTCGACTCGTGATGAAGAAGGTAAATCATCTAAATTACAGATACCTTCGAGCAGAAGTCGCTCTCTTATTTCATAAGCATACACACTAGGTTTTGTCATTTCCATGCCTCAATTACTTGGAGGATATCATCAGTAATTTTGTAGGGAACGCTCCCGCCTCGAGCAAAATGGAGACA